ATCTACGGCTCAGTGCTGGGCTTGTGCCCTGGGAACTGGGGGCTGCAGCTCTCAGTGCCCATCCCTGGAGCCACTGCAGGCTTGTCCCCGGCCCTGCCAGGCTCAGGCAGCCGGTGCACCCAGGAGGTGCCCTCTGCGCAGCACAGGTGAGTTGTACGAGGAAATTTCACCCCGGGGAGCTGACTGGGTTTCCTTCTGGAGGGACTTGGTCTTCTCTCCCACCCCTTCCTGGGCCAGCCAGTGACCGTGGCCTCTCTGCCTCTTCCTCTTCTAGTGGGATAGGGGAGAGAATCAGATGAGTAAAATTAAGAAAACACATGGGTTGAAAAAATGACAGTTTAATAAATAAGCAAAAGCTGTGCACACAAGCAAAGCAAACCAAGGAACTCATTCACTACTTCCCATTGGCAGGCAGGCATTCAGCCATCTCCACCATGCATAACAGTTACTTGGGAAGACAAACACTATAACTCCAAAAGTCTTCCCTTCCTTCTTCTTCCTTCAGTTTTACATATCGGGCATGACATCACATGGTATAGAATATCCCTTTGGTCAGTTGGGGTCAGCTATCCCAGCTGTGTCCCCTCCCAGATTCTTGTGCACCCCCAGACTACTCAGTGATGAGGTGGTAGGAGAGGCAGAAGCCTTGATGCTTTGTAAGCACTGCTCAGCAGTAACTAAAACATCCCTGAATTACCAACACTGTTTCCAGCACAAATCCAAAACATAGCCCCATACTAGCTACTATGAAGAAAATTAACTCTACCCCAGCCAAAACCAGCATACCCCTGCAAGGTTTTGCTATGTAGACATTAGCACATATACTCTAATTAGTTACTTCTTTCCGTTCCTTTGCTGCTTCTCCCAAGTCTGTTCTCCCTCTAGGCTCACCTCTCCCTTTCCACATTCCCTCCTTTGCCCACCCCACTCTATCTTTGCTTGCCATTTATCTCCATACCTGAGTTACTGTGTAGTCCTTCTCCTTCAGTCGATCCTTTATTATTCGAATTAAAGGACCAATGTTATAGAACTCGGCTTCTTCTAGCACTCCTAAGAAAGAAAGAGAGAAGGACCACACAACCAGAAAGTTAACAGCCTGTCTTCATTTTTTGGCTTGCAAAAGCTCAATTCTGAGCTTCCCAAGGCCCATAGGAAGAAATGACACTGCAGTCTCACTTTTTAACAGGTTTCTGTTGCTTGAAACTCTTTACTGCAGAGAATTGAACCCTGGTTCTCTGCAATGCATTTCTAATGCTCACTCCAATTTCCTTGTGCTGCCTGCTACTACAGAAACAGGCACTGCCAGTGAAGGCTTATGCCAAGGACTGCTAATACCTTTACCAGATAACTGGCCAAAGATAATAAATGTAGGTTCCAGCCTCTCTCAATGACCACTAGATATCCTTCACTACCTGACACTCAGACCTCTTCTGAGTCCTTCCTTCAGCCATGCATTGTCTAATGGGTTAGTTTTATGCCACCCTGAGTGTCTGCATCAGGAACAAAAGGCAGTATTAAGCTATGAATGAGACTCCTGTTTATGCTTCAGATTCGATGTGATCCATCACCTGTGGATGAACTCTGTCTGACCTCAGGATTACAAGAAATGTCGAGTAGGAAACACCTCAGAATTGCTTAGATATATTTTTGCAATTATAAGATTATTCTGAAGAAAACTCTCCTTGTAATAAGTAAAAATATGTCAGAGAGAGAGAGGCAAGAAGACTAATGAACATGTAGAAACTGTGCTTGACAAGGGATGGACAGCACATCCTGTCTTTGAAATTGGCTTCCTGATAGACTCTAGCATCCAAAAAATAACGAGGTATTGGGGGCTGCTGTCTGGTAACACTGTAACGTTACTGAGTTATCCTATTGGACTCCCTGTCAACCTCGAATGAGGGATTGGATTGTCTGGCTTGTTCCACTGGAATTGCTGCAGCCCACAGTCCATCATAGCACTAGAAGCACACATTGCATATCACTGATTAATGATGGTCTTTATTACAGTCAGTAGAACTGATGAGCTTGGTTTTGTCTGGTCTTTCATTTAATTTCATTGGGTTTTCATTTCTAACTAGAAACAGTCATTAACAGAAAACTCAGTCGCAGAGCCTGATTAAAAGTGGGTCAGAAATACAAAGAAAATGGTTTATTGAGGCTGAGAGATCTTGCTTAATTCCATCTCGGTGACATCTCTGCTGAACAAACAGTCCTGAAGCCACACCACCTGTAGAATGCCTTCCTCACCTACTCCGAACCACTTTAGTACAGGATACATCAATATGCTTTCCAAGAGCTGCAGGGATAGCCCTCTCAAATCACCCCACATCAACCTCCAGAATGAGAATGAAACACAACAAGCCTACTGTGTCCTGGCTATAGCAGTGATGTTAAATGTGAAGTTTCTCAGCTCCAAGACTCACCCTCTTCAGCCATATCTTTATTCAGGACCAGCTTTCCATGACGGAGGAAATTCAGGATGGGTCCAAAGTAAGTGGGGTCCCGGTCTATTAGGTATGCACCGGTCTCATCCTAGCAACAGAGATAGACCACAAGGAGAAAAACCCCATGGGAAGCTTGTAAGCAACCCTCAAATGCTCCAGACTATAAGAAAATACAAACCTAAGCAAAAATGTCCACTATTTCTAAGACTCCTTGGAAACCATGGGCCCCTGAGAGTCCCTAGCCAAGTCAGCCCAGCCTGGATTTTAACTCCTGTATTGGTATGCTCAGCATGCCCACCTCAGCATGGATCAGCCCAACTGAGAAAGCCAAAAAAATAGGCCTGTCTCCTGCTACTGTGTGTACAAGCCTGGTGTGGGAGAGCAGAAAACCCCCTTATAGGGGACAAGGCTGAGTCAGGCAGATACAGCTGGGAGATAGACTCTGGGGATGTGGGGTGATAGAGAGGCAGGAGAGCAGGGGTGGAGGGGAGATGGCCTTTCTTTACCCCAGCTTGGGAAGACAGGTGCCAGGCTACAACACACCGAAGTGGGATCTGGCAAGAGGAAATCCCTCCCAGGAGAGGGGGGGGAGAAAGAGCAGGCATTTTTCACTCAGTCACTCCTGCAGCTGTCGGAGTCTAGCTCCATCCCTGCACCCTTCCAGCCCTCCCCATGCTCTGTGGGGCACGGTGCGGGAGGCAACCCAGCTGCCTTACCCGGTCGGACTGCAGCTCCTCGCCCTGGCACAAGCGACACAGGAAAGATTTCTGCTCCCGACACAGGGTCTGCCTGGTGGTGAGGAAGACGGTGCCCCCCACATTGAGTCTCACCCACTTGGCCTGGGTGCCAGCGAGTGGCGGGATGTCCCAGGTGCAGCGGAGCCCCACGGAGTCCTGCATCTCCTGCCCTCCCTCCATTCTCATACTCACACTCCCCAGCCCTTCCAGCATGCAGCCGCCGGTGCTGTCTGCCGCAGAATGCCGGGATCTGTAGTTAGTATCTGCCGCTCCCTCCGCAGCAGCTGTGTTTCCTGGGGGCCAGGGTCATCCCTGTGACTGCCAAGGGAGACCTGAGTGGGCAAAACCGCAGCTCCACAGCACTGATGCTCCCTGGCTTTATCCCTGTTCCCGTTTTCACTAACCAAGGGATGGCCAGCACTTCGGAGGTGCAGGGTGTTATGCAAATATAATCGGCATTTATTTCCATAGACATCCTCTCTGGCTCATTAAAAGGTTCTGGGAACTGTAGTTTGCAGGACATACACAGAAGGGTGCTGGGCACTGCAGTTTTACCAGTCTGCTGTCCCTTTAATGAGGATGCTACAGTGAAGGGGGCTGCACTGTACTACATGACAGCTGGTAGTGTGCATGCTTCTAGTCCTGGGTCTTGCCTGCAAGCTTCCTTGGAGCCAGGAAGAACAACCTGCTGCCTGGCAGTCAGCAGATGTAGTCCGTCAGCGCTGTACTCCACAGCTTTGCCTTCAGGAGATGCATTACCCCAGGCTCACAGCTCAGTGCTGCATCAGTTGCCATGCTGTCCTTGCTGCAAAATGGGCAGACAGTTGCTTTATTGTTAACTTATATAGGGATGCTTCTTGGGAACTGTATCCTGGATCTGCATGAAGTGCTGGCAGAGAGCAGGAGTAATTTTGCTTTCAATTCAGAAGAGGTGCTGACTCAGCAAACTGCCCCCTGTGCTGCCCTACCAGCACAAACCATGTCAGACAGAGAACCCCTGCATCCTTCCCCTCTGCTCCTGCCATCCCGGTTTGTGTCTGGGCAACAGGGCGCTCAGATATTAACTTAGCTCTGTGTGGAGATTTCCCTCTGCCCTAGGCAGCCATCATCCCTCTGAGGTTGATGTGCCAATGCTGCTGTACCAAATCTATCCCAGCCTCTGCCACTCGCTCCTGCCAGGCTGAGCCTAGAGCTCAGCAACTCATGCCCCATGGGACTCTGTTCAAATGCACTCCTTGGCACAGGCACAACCTGAACAAGCTCTCCCGCCAGCAGCTCTGCTTTTCCCACTCCCACCTAAGCACTGCTGTGCTTGCCAGCAGCTCGAGTGTATTAGGAATGGAAAGGCTGATGTTTCACCTGAATGTAGCCCAAAGCCTTCCTTCATCTAAGCAACTTTCTGGCTCTTCCTTGCCAGGGCAATGCAGCACTGCAGAGACTCTGTGGTGCCTCGCAGACACTTCACTGTTCTTGACCTAGATATTTGTTTTTTGAGGTGGGGGTTTCTTGGGGGAAGAGGGTGGATAAAGAGAAACATTATGTTTTACTCATATTCCTTTTCTTTTTGTCCTTCCTTCTTCTTTTACTTACAAATCATTCCCTTTTATCATTACAGGACATCAGTCACCCTTCCCCCAAATCACCCAGGACTTTCTTCACAAAGATAGTATGTGTGAACTTTGCTCCTCCTGTGGATGAGTGAAAAGGGAAGGAGAGAAAGAGAGGGTAACATGGAAAAGGTTTCAAGATAGCTGACCTCCAGCTAATTTAAACACAGGAAAAAATCAGCTGCTGCAGGATGTAAATCCAAGTAACTCTGGATCTCCTTGAATTTATACCAGGAGCGGGCCAGCACTAGAATGACCAGTAACAGAGAGGATGAAAAATTATTTTTGCCTACCTATATGGAGCAGACATTGGCCCAAATTAGTGGCCAGCTCTTGGACCAGCCCCCAGTGAGTGGTGATGGGTATCAAAGATGCTTGGACTAACGCTGACCTGAGCTGAAGCATCAACAGTGCAACACAGCTCTGGGCTATGGGACTGTTGCTCTCCTACTTCTGGCTGACTCAAACCACGGCAAAACTGAGAGCTCTGCCCTGCACTCTGGTGTGCAAGGGATGCAGGACCTTGTCTGTGCTGGCCACAGCTCCAGCACAGAATTAGGGTGAGGTCTGTGGCTCTCTGATATGAATGCAGTAGTTGGGTGGTAGCCTATAGCCCCTTATCTCCCCCTCCAAGAAATTTGCCCTGCCTTAGTTTTCTTCCTTCTTCTAACAAGAATTTACACTTTACTCCTCTCACAGCCCCTCAGCCTCTTGTTCCTTCTTAGGTCCATCTCTTGTTCTTAATGCTTTCTTCCCCAATCTCTTGCATGCCAATGCTGATCACAGGTCAAGGATATTCTTGGTCTGTATTCAGATCACACCTTCTTCCATCAATACCAGACTCCATCTGTGGCCAGCACTTTAAGTCTTGCTCACCCCAGGGCCATGGTGTGAAAAGCTGGTTGGTAAACCTAAAGAGGTCTACTGTGAGTAAGGAAAGAGGTCAAGGTACACCACTCCCATTCCCAGAACTGACTTTTCTGCAACATACAGCACAAAATTTATTGGAAAACCCCCCAGGCCAGGACATTTCCCACACTATGTGAAAAGTCAGTCTGGGGTGAGTTACCAACTGAAATGCTATGATGAGTCAGTGGTGTGGGCTAAATACAAGCCCAATTTGCACATCATCACCAGACATAGTTCTGAGATACAACTAGCATGCCCTTGTTAAGATCCATTAAAATCAAGCAATAGAACAGGAGAGAAATAAATTTAAGTAATCCTATGGCTGTTCCTCCTGCTTTGATGATAGCTATATATAAAACATATGCACAGAAACAGAGAGACAGGAGCCAGAAAGAGCTCACAAGGGGCAGTGTGATTGTGTAATGCCATACAGCCCTGCTGGATACCCAGTTAAATCACAGGGACAATTGCACAGACAGACTAGGGGCAGGAAAGACTGGACAGCCACTGGGTAGATAGTTGATGTGCTGAACAAGAGTTGAGGAAAACAGACCAAAGAGTAAACTGAGAGTTTCTTGGTTCAGCAGCCAGCAGGCCTGCAGTGACAAACCTGCAGAAAGCTACACGCTGCAGCGCTCCATACATACACTGCAGCCTGACGAGTCAGCAGGGTACATGGCATGCAATGTATCACTGGCGTTGCAGAGCTGCTCTTAGGGAATTGTTGCATCATGGAGCAGTAGTGGGAGCAGGGATCACCATGTGTTGGCTCAGACAGTGTCACCACTCTGACAGGCTGGAAACACCCATCTGAAATTAAACCTGTGCAATCATTTAGTTAATGAACACACTGGCGTGAGGCACCAGAGAAGAAATCATCTCCTCTCTCTAGGAAGTAGAGAGGGGAAGACAAGTAATGCTGTGACATTATACCATAAAGCCAACAGGGCAAAGAAAACTGCTGGGAACAGTTCAGTTCACTTGGAGACAACAGAGCCGAGCTTGACTGCCAGCTGAGCCAGGCATATTGGAGCAGGAAGAGAAAGGTCCCATGGCATGCAAGCGAGCTTATCCTTCTCCAGCTCCTTGTGCTTCAAGCGGTCTGTGAGCAATGTACCTGCATTCGAAATAGTGTGCAAAGTGTGTATGTGTATGTGCATCACTCAGCACCTCTGCTGGAAGAGTGTTGGGAGGAAGAGAGAGAATAGTCATGTAGCACCAGGTTGCGAGCTGGGACCAGGAGAGATGGGAGGAACACCAAAAGCCCCTGCAGTGATTACCATTGCTTGTGCAGTGGCCATTAGTGTGAAGGGACAGCAGTGCTGGAAGAAGGGCTGCTTTGGAATTTGGGTAAGTTTGCACAGGAACAAAAGGTTCACAGGAAAGTGAAGTGTGAAATAGTGCAAGCTGACTGCTAGGCAGCAGTAGGGAAGGAAGAGGAAGGCAAGGGACAAAAATGACATGAGAGACAAGGGACAGTGGGATTAATTTTGGAGAACCATTGACCAGACTGTTTTCACGGAGTCCAAAACTGCTTCAGTACAAAGTATTGCAGATAGTAAAATATACCAATAAACCAATAAAGAGTTCACGTGCTGGCCTAGCATTCTCAAGTTTATATAGAGAGCTGTAAAAGTTACAGTTTCATTAGCCACAGGTCAATGTGACCTCCCTCCTACATCAGGGCTGGGTTCTGGGCTACTTTTTGGCCACCATGAGCCCTATCCCACAGAAGATATGCTATTCCTCTTTCCCTGTGGCAAATTTTCCACAGGAGAGTCATCAACATTACTGATTTGCATTCATACCCACTTCTCCCCTTCCCAGTTCTCAGTTCCCATAGGAAACTCATCCACTGAGTCAGGGACATAAAGATCTGCAGAACATTTATAGTCCTGGTACAAGTCCCCTCAGCTGTTCCATATGTCCAGTAGCATCTGTTATGGCTCAAAATAGGTTTCTGCAGTCTCCAGGCTTTGAAAACAAAGTCTCAGTCTCCACAACGTTCCCAGTGCCTTGCCTGCAGTGTGAGAACAGATCTCAGCTAAAAGGAGGGAGAATATCAGAAGATACTCTTGGACAGATTTTTGATACATGATGTAACAGGGCATACCCCAGAAAGTATCTTATGGTGGGGAAGAAGTTCTCGATTCTCCTCTGCAGGGAAATCAGGGCAAAGCTAAGCATCTGGTAAAAGATACTCCAAAAGCTAGGAAATTGAAGAACAGCTGAGATTTTGTGGTTCAAAATCCAAAATCAAAAACCGTGGCACACAAGGGGGAAGGGCCTTGCTAGATGTCATCGAGCCACACAGTCAAAATGTAGAGCAAGGGGAGAGGGAAACCTTTCACTTAGTTTGTGATCTCCAGGTGGATGGATGGGCTGCATCAGACACCTCCCTGTGACACACAAGACAGAGAAAAGCAGCTCAGTCTCAAGAGGAGGCAGAGAGATTCCCACTGAACTCAGGGTCTGCTGGGGTGAATGGGAAAAGAAACCTCACCTAAGCTGCACTGCCAAATGTTCTAGAAGGACAAGAGCAAAAGCCAGCCCCCTGCATCCACTGGAAATGATTAACAAAATCTGAAAGAATATGTCAATTTTCTCTAATAACTAAATTTTCCTGGAGAAACAGAGCAGGCATAGCACTCCAGTTTTGTCTGTTTGTAGGTAGGGGCCTGGCCACATAGTCACAAAATCAACCTCACCTCCCAGACCCGCCCAGGCTGTTAAACCTTAATGACCCACCACATGAAAGCCTCTTAGCTTGGCTGATGGTGGGAGAAGCTAGAAATCCCAAACCAAAAAGAGGTCACAAGCCAGATCCTACTGTAAGATCCTATACTAGACAACACTGTCTGTACAAGTATCTTTTAAGTTAGAAGTGTCTCAAAAACCAACACCGGTGTTGCTCAGTTTAGCACCACTTGCTGTTCCCAGCCAGTGCCTATCCTTTAGTTTTCGTGTCAATATCATACTTCAGCTTAAAGTTTAAGTGTTCTCAGTTACAGACTGCTATCAGATGTCCTACATGATGTGCTGACTAGTTCTTCCCTTTCCCCTTCAGGAAACAGTTGCTAGAAAACTACCCCACTTGGGATAAAGCAAGGTGTTGCCACCAGCCTTCAAAAACACAGTAATTACCTGTATGGGGAAATTTATAAAGCACAGGAGTAGAAAACCTTTCACTAGCAGGAAGAAGATTAGCAGCTAGATCCAGAACTGAAAGTCTTAACAATTTGCAAGGCATGCTGTAACCTGCAAAGGAAGCCCTTTTGGGAAGTCTAAGCCCAAAGAACAAAATGGAAGCTGGCAAATATAAAGGTTTATTATTTTATCCAGATCTGTGCCTTGCACTGTATACTGAAGGGTCACTTATTTCAGACCCCTGTGCACTCTATATACTCAGCACCTGCTGTAAAGCCGGCCCCAAGTCTCTGAAGAGCTAGGTTGTTAGAACAGATGTAAGTAAGGAAATTGAATGCTTTCAGTCACTGGAAATGGGTGGAAAGAAGGGTTGGCCTGTATGTGTGGGTGGGGAGGACAGAAGAAGAAATCGTATGAACAGTGAAACCCTAGCTCCACAGGAGGTGAGCAGAAACAGAGCTTGTGTGTATGCAAGCCAAGACCAGGAAGAAGCCAGGGCTGCAGCTAACAGAGGCCACCAGCCCTCATATTCAGTGGCTAGGAGGGGACCCTGCAAATCTATGACTGTAAGCATTCACAGCATTCCCTAGAAAGGATTATGCCATCATCCTCAGATTTTCACAAGTACCTGTTGCTGCAAGCCCAAGACCAGAACCTGTCTCATTAACTTTCTAAGTTATCAGGGGGGCAGAATAATACAGGACTTGTTTTGCTTTTTGTTTGGTTTTTGGTTTGTTGGGTTTTGTTTTTTTTTTTTTAAGAGGAAAAAATCCTAGAGAGAACAAATTCTTGAACATGGTCAGGGATATCCGGGGGGATTTCAACTCTCAGATAGAAGACAATGGTCTCAGTAGAAAAATACTTGCCACTGTGGGCTACTCCTCAGTATGTCTCAGTTCCCATAAATTTTTTAAGGTTACATGGTATGTCCCATGGAAAGAACAGAAACGCACATGCAGTCCAATTTTCACCATGTGAGTTGACATCCAGTCTTTAAAGAACAGAGCTGTGACTGACCAACATGGAGTTTTAGGCCAAAAAGCAAATGAACAAGGACTGAAAGAAGAAAGATGGGGAAAAGTTCCAAAAGCCATTGTCTTTCCTGGACCAAAGAGCTTGTTGAAGGTAAAGGACATAGTTCTACTCACAGAGAGAGGGAAACATCTTATTTGAATCAAGACAACGTGATCCATAAAAATAGTTCCTGAAAAGGAATCACCCAAGCAACACACATAAGTTCCATTCAGCAGAAACACCTTGAAACACATGTTTATTTACCCTTTTTAATCCCAGAATCTTTTCTTTTTCCCAAGGGAGATTTTGGACCACAGGGGTACAAAATTGGTTAAGTACACATCACAGTTAGATTCCAAGTGCAAGAAAAAATCCAGACCAAGTCTCTAACCTAAGAGCCAACTGGAAGTCATATTTGCTCCTTTAACAGTTACATCTTTCCCCAAAGTTTTGCACTCAAAATGGCCATAAAGTGTATGGATGGCTTCTAGGGCAGAGGCAGAGAGCTGAATCATGACACACAATTATATGAATATGATCATCCTGTGAGTGAACATGGTGTAATGTCTCAAGTCATAAGCTTGTCTTAATTACTTCCCCATGCTACAACCAGCAGTCTCTCCCTTCCATTGGATACAATAAAAAGGTCACAAAAATCACAGAAAGGCTAAGGTTGGAAGTGGCCTTGAGAGGACATCTGGTTCATTCCATGTGCTCAAACAGGGTCAACTAGAGCTGGCTGCCCAGGTCATCTTTATGCCCCTAAGAAGCAGCAATAGGGTAAGAAGAAAGTGCCAAAGCACCATGTGACCATACTTGTTATCCAACACCTTCAAGACACTTAACCAGAAACGCTAAACCCATCTTCTCCAAATCCTGTTTCAAGGCAAATTATCTGCACAGCTGGGAAATGAAGCATGTTATTAGACCATCTTGCCCTTTCCCTCAGAAATAATATTTTCAGGCAGTGCCCGCATGTACCATTCCACCCAGGCCCCATCATACACAGCAACATCTGGTTTGCCACAGAGGTATGCCCCCAGAGCCACATGGCAAGCAGTGACCCCAGAGCCACACGTGGCTACCACTGGCTTTAAGAGGTCCACCTTCTTCTCCTGGAACAGACTGCAGATCTGCTCAGGGGTCTTCTCTAAGCCAGACTCTGTGAGGAAATCGGTGAAGGGGATGTTCATCGACCCAGGGACATGACCAGGCTCAATTCCTAGAGGAAAAACAATACAGGTAGGAATTAACCTTTACTGTTTGGGACAAATCCATTGCAAAACCTGTTCTCTGTTTCACCATGAGGAATACTGTTTAGTATATTTTGTTAAAACAAATTCATTTTGTTTACTTTGCTTTACTAGGTTACTGATTACTCGGGAAGGATGACTCTAACCTTCAAGTTACCACATGGACACATTCCTAGCAAGTTCTGGTTTTTCTCCCTGCCCCCTCAACATCTTCTCTACATCAGAGCAACCCATTCTGATGAGGTACTGATTGAAGCACCTCCATAGGCCCTTCTGAGAACAGTAGCACCAGTACATGAAGAGACCAGTGAGTATCTCTGAGGTGTACAAAAGCTATGTCCTACACCTGAGGCCCTCAAGAGAAAAAAAATACAGTTTCCCCACTCGGGAATTCTCAAAGAGTGGCACTTGCTGGTGAAAAGGAGAGGAGGTCAGATGGATACCCTGCCTCAGGTCCCATCCCATTAAGGACAACCATATTTTCCTTTATTACCTCAACAGGAGTCAAACTGATGGGCACCTTAAATGAAGCCCCTTTTTATTATACCAACTGTGAGAGACGAGAAACTAGGCCTGCAGGAGGCACATTACCATCTCGGGGCTCTGGCTCTACTCCCCGGAACCGTCCTGCAGCACGTGCATCCACTAGTTGGAAGTGGTGGGAATCCAAGTTATCTAAGACATCCTCGTATGTTTTCACCAGGGACTTGTCCAAAGAGGCATGGAACTCTGTGGGAGCTACCTGGCTTTTCCCAGAGCTCAGTGCATTTCCCTCTTGCTGCCAGTTCTTCAGGCCACCATCCAGAAGGGAGACAGCTTCATGTCCAAAGGCCCGAAACATCCACCACACCCGGGGCGCTGAGAAGAGACCTTGGTCGCTGCCATCATACACCACAACGTGGGAATCATTCCCCACACCCAGCTTCCCCACATACTCAGCAAAGTCATCAGCCTTGGGCAGCATGTGGTCATAAGGTGAGGTACGGTCACTGCACTGGTCAATGTCAAAAAAAACTGCACCAGGGATATGGCGCTCCTCAAATTCCTGCTTCGGGTCACGCTTCATCTTTGGCAAATACCAGGATGCATCCATGATTCTCAAGGACAGACCAGCTTGCTGTGACTTGATGGCTTCTGAAAGCCATTTTGCAGATACCAGAGCACGGTAGAGGAGTTGTTGCGACATTGCTCCCAACTCCTGGCCGAGATTACCTGATTTCTAGGGTCTGCCTGAATCCACCTGACTGCAAGAGGAATAAAGTCACAAATTAGAGACCAGCCTTAGAAAAAGCCACTGAACAAAGATGCATTTTGAGACTAAAGACCTGTGTCTGCACTGAGGTGCTGAAGCCTACAGTGAGGCGTTTGAAGGGCTCCAGCCCTGAAAACAGTTTCACAGAGCTTAGCCCAAACCCTGCCCCGAGCAGGACAGCCATGGCACAGTCCTGCCCCCAGCGCCCCACAGCCCACCGGGCCCCTGCACCCCCAGCCAGCGCTGACAGAAGCAAGAGCGGAGCGGGGCAGCCCCAGGGATGAAGCGCCGGAGAGAGGCACGTCCCCACGGCAAGGGGGACTCTGCCCCACCGCTCCAGTGCGCAGCTGCAGCCGAGGCCCTACCGGGCCCCTAGCACCCCTCACGCAGACCTAACCCCTGCCGCCTCCCGCTGCGACCCTTCCCGCCCCGGACACCCCCAGCCCCGGCGGAGCCACCGTTCATGCAACAGCGGAGGAAGGCGCGGGACCGGCCACTGCACCTCCCCGTACCTCCGTGCTGGGCCTCAGTCGATCAGCACTCTCCCTCAGACCCCGCCAGCCATGGCCGCCGCCGGGGG